CTGCCTCCTAGAAGGAAAATCTCTCAGACAAATGAAGAGTAAGTACTGTGGCTGGCTTGTGGGCAGAGGGGCCGTGCCCTGCTTTGCCCTTTCTGCTCTGCATAGTTTAATAGTGCTCAGTCCATTCCCATCTTGCAAACCTCTCCCTGTCTGCCACAGGCACTGTAACTGGGGCAGGAAACACTTTAAGGATGGGAAAACCTGGAGGTGAGTCCCTGGGGCATTTAGGAACTGAAGGTGGTCTTACCAGCTGATGTCAGAAGGGAGGTCCCCAGAGCCCAGCTAACTTTCCCCACACCCAGCAACTCCCCACAGGGTGAAGCATGGCAAGGGGATGAGGCTGCACAGCCTGCAGTTTGCAGCCCCTACCCCAGTGCTCAGCATCCAGTGGTCATGGCTCTTTGACTTCGAGTACAGGGCCTAACCTGTACAGGGAGCTTTGGTAGAAGTGTGTCTGGGCTACTTAGTGAGGGGAAGAGTGCCATCCTCCCACTGAACCAGGCAGTTGGCATGCAGCAAGTGTGCTGCAAATGCCTCCTGCTGGCAAGGACCCAGTCCCCTTTCCACAGCCTAACAGCTGGCAGCCACTGAAAGCACGCTGGAGTGGATGATGCAAGGACAACCTTTCCCTGCCTGCCTGCCCGCCCTCCTCTCTTTTGGCTTCCTATTCCACTGTCCTCTGAATGCAGGGGCAACACAGAGGATGGGTGTGATGCACAGGGACTTGAGCCAAAGTGCCCCAGATTCAAGGGTAAGCTAGAGAGACTTGGAGGTTCCCAGCTGGTGGGGTTTGCTGCCCTACAGCCACAGAGACCCCCTCCAAGCACCTGCTGGTGCCAGGGGAACAACAGTGCCTCCACCCCTCTGTTCTCTTATCAATTATTGATGACAGCAGTGCACAACCTGCGGTGGTGGGGCCAGCCATTCCTACATATGCATTATTTAGCCCAGTGGGAGGCTTCTCTTGGCGGGTGGGGCTGGGGAGTTGCTGCTGTGTGGTGCCAGCTCTAGGCTGGTTTCTGTTGCCAGGAGTGCCAGAGTGGGACTCAGCAGCTGTGTGCACCCTGCATGTGCTGCAGAGCAACTTCTTGGGTGGTGCCATGGGGGTTGAGAAAAATTTGCAGTGAGTGCCTCCATTGCCAGTATGTGGCAGGAAGTGGGCCCTGCTGGTGACTGTGCCCCAGGCCTCTTGGGTGGTAAAGCTCATGCCTCCTTTGGTGGGGCAGAATTGGGCCCCTGTGCAGCCTGGTGTTGGGGTGGGGGGATACTGCAGAGACCTGAGCCAAGTGTCTGGAGACCTGGCCCTTGGGGTGTCTCCCTGCACCTGGTTTGGGGAGAGCAGAGGTGGGAGCCTGAGGAACTCAGTGCCCCTTTGGGGGGCCGGCAATGCTAAACTGAACCACAAGAGCCATCTGAAAGTACCAAGGGTTAAAGGAAATAAAAGCCTCCTGAGCAAGAAGGCAAGGAACCTCATGAGCTCCTGAGCAGAGCCAGCTTGGCAGAGCTCACAAGCAATAGTGCCACATGGCCTGTTTCGTCTGCAAGAGTGACACATCAGCAGCAACTTGCTAGCCCTTGTGCACAAGCTAACCAGACCCTCATGGGCATCAGCCCCTCTTACATAGAGGGAAACTGAGGCAAGGGCACAGAGCCGTTGCCCCAAACGCAGACTCACTGTCCCAGCTCCAGTGGGAAGCTGGAGGACAGAACGCTGGCTATAGCCACAGGACTGAGTGTGCCACGTGCTGTTGCCCCCAAGTCAGCCCAGCCAGTCAGAGTGCCACAGCCATGCCAGAAGGGCCCTGCCTCACAGAAGGGTAGTGTGTCTTGGGGGTGCAGATCCAGCCCTTTTATGTGAGAGTCCTGGTATGATGGCTGACTGAAGGCCTCCCCCCCAGCTTCTGTGTACTGAGAGCATGGACAGCAAGGCCAATGCAAGCCAAGGAGGCTGTCTCCAAGAGGCCTGCTTGCCAGCTGTGCCTTGCCATGGTATGACTGAGGTTAGAGTGTTCCTGAGAATGCTCCACACCGTTACCTGCACCCGCTGGCCAAGAAGGGCCCCTTGCTCTTACTGCTCAGCAGGAGTATGCCAATGAGCTGCCAAGGCCATGCACATGCAAACTGCACCCCCAGTAATGATAGCTGTGCTCCAGGGAAGCCAGCATAGTCCTGCCCTGGGGTGGACCCCAGCTCAATGTGACCAGCACAACTGTCAGTCTGGGACCAGATTGGTGGGGCTGGAGTGATCCCCTCTCAGCTCTGGCCCTGGACTGAAAGGCTCAAACATTCAGGGGATTTGGCTTCCAGTGTGAAGGGGCTGAGCTAAGCCCACTAAGCAGGCACCTGGCAGCAGTTACAGTGGTGGGGTTGGGGCAGATTAGAGACAAAGGCCACCATTGTGCTTCTGTCACCCAATAAAGAGTCCATAATGCCCACTGAGCACAGCACCTGCCTGCAGGGAGGGGCTCTCCAGGTAGTCCGCTCTCCCCTGAGCCAGCTCACAGGGAGGCAGTGGCCAAGCTCCTACTGACCTCTGGGACAAATGAGGGCAAATGGAGTCCTTGGGAGAACCCCCCTCCACCTCATGGGTCCTGTAGGCTGCCTGGCTGGCTGGCACCATTGGCACCATGGAAGCAGAGTCAAGTTCACATCCCTGGAGGTGTGCTCCAGTCCCTTTCTTTGGGATTTGTCAGTGACCCTGGGCCACAGGGCAGTGCACCCTTAATCCCAGAACTGCCAGTGTCATTGCTATGGTGCCTGCAGCCCCTCTTGCCACCTGCTTGCTGGTTTGTATTGATGAGGGTGACTGTGACCACTCTTGTCAGGACACTGCTCCTGCTGCAAACTGCATGGCTCCAGGATGCACTACCCATGGCCTACACAGTAGCTCCTTTGTGTGTGCTCATACATTCGGCATTAGCAAGACATGTGAATCCTGTCAGGGCCTTGGCCACCAAACAGCTCATTAGTGCTAGCAGTTTGGCAGCTGTGCCTGGCTGATTAACACCAAGGCCAGGGGGATTTGGGGTCTCAGCTGATGCTTAATGACCTTTCGTTGTCCCAAGTGGGTCATTCATCCCAACAGCCCTTTGTCCAGCAGCCCAATCCCCAGCAGAAGGGGAGAGCACTTCAAACCAACTTTCTGCACCAGCAGGGAAAGCACTTGGCCTCCCTGCAGTCAAATGGGATGGTAGGACGTCCTGGCCACTCACTCTCATGGCCCAGCCTGTGTGCTGGGTGAAGGAGCTAGCACGCTCGTGTGGGGCTGCAGACAGGCAGAAGGTCTGGGGCTGCACAGCCCCCACCGCAGCAGATGGAGCACAGCAGGGCAAGTATGGGAAGCAGGGTGGCAGCAGGTGCACTCAGCTCCTGCTGGGCGGTGGTGCATCCCCACGTGGTCAAGACCTGCTCTAACCAACCTGTAGGTCCCACTTCATAACAGTGGCTTGTAGCCAAGCTAACTGGAATGCTGGCTGCGTTTGGGCATGCTCCCCTCCTGCCTTAACACCCCAGCTCCCATCTGTATCGGGGAGCTGGTGGCATGCAGCATGGGGCTGCCCTCTCTCCAGCACAGGGATCGGTGAGCTAAAGGACCAGGAAGGCCAGGGAGTTGGGCTTACCTGGCTGCCCTTGCTCTGCCCGTCTGCTTATCCCTGCTTAAGCTCACAGGTGGCTTCCTCGGACAGAAGTGGTGAATCCCCATGTTGGCAGCAAAGGAGCAGGGCACTGAGCACTGCGGGCAGAGCAGGAGGCAGCAGGCAGCAGGCACAGAGATGTGCTTGCTCTGACCCTGCCAGAAGGCAGCACTCTGAAGCAGGGTCCACGCTGGCTGGGCTGGCTTCCCACGTGACTGCGCTCAGCTTTACTCCAAGCCATGGTTGGTTGGGGTTTAATTTGGACTGGGAGTGAACAGGGAGGCTTGGCCTCAGCAGCGTTGAGTAGAGGAGAGGTGCAAAGTGAGCCCATCCTTCAGTGGCCAGGACAGCTGATCTGGGGAGCAGTCTATGTGTGCTGGTGAGATAGACTGGGACTGGGGGCGGTCTCTACAAGCTCTGCAGTGAGCAGTGGCCCACTGGAGTACTGGCACCTTCTTCCTCTCTGCATTTCTATTTCTAGGTGTAGGCAAGGCTTGTTGGGGCATGAGCAGGGCTTTTGTGATACAGGGTCTGGTACCTGGTAGCTCAAGCCCTTGCAGCAGCTCCAGGCAGCTTGCTTCAGCTGTGAGTGTGGGAAGGTCAGTCTGGGCCTGCTGTGGGGCCCCTACCTAGGCTGGCGCTTACACTGTGTGGGATGGGGGATTGGAAGTTTGCTTCTTGTCTCATGAGGAACATGGCCACATCCCTGGAGGCAGAAGCAGGAGCATTGCAGAGGGGTGGTGACAGGGTGGAAGGCCAGCTACTTACATGGGCAAGGTGCCATGAGGGACACTGGGCTCCAGGGGTTTCTGCAGAGCCTGGGCAGCAGATCTCTGGAAAGCCCTTGCACAAGCCAGGGGCAGGGCAAGGGCCAGAAAAACCTGCCTGGGCTGCTGCAAGTTGGATTGCTGGGGTGGGAGTGTCTCACAAGGCCTGAGACAGCTTAATTCATCCCTCCTGCTGTGCTAGACTCCACGTGGGGCAGTGCTATGGGATTGCACAGCTGGTGTGGAGGATGGCAGCCAGGACTCTGGCCTGCCTGGGCCACCTGCTGCTCCCAAAGGGGGCTTGGTGGGTTAGTTGTGATCAGTAAAGTCCCACATAGTGGGGGCCCCTGCAACCAAAGCACAGCTTTACTCCCTGCTTATGGCTGCAGGAAATATTGGTAGCATCATGAGGGCCAGGGAGTGGGAGCTGCTGATGGGGCCCCTTGCCCAGTATCTGGTCACTGCAGTCCATTTTGCTCCAAGCTGCAGCACCAGGCCCAGCTGTGGGCTGGAGTGGGTGGCCTGGGGTACAGTCCCTCACATGCAGGGGGGTCATTTTCTACGTGTCTCCTCACCTGCAACCGTCTCCCACCTTTAGGTACCAAGTCGTTCAACATGATGTCCCCCACTGGCGACAACTCTGAGCTCCTGGCTGAGATCAAGGCAGGGAAGAGCCTTAAACCAACCCCACAGAGCAAAGGCTTTACCACAGTCTTCTCAGGCAGTGGCCAAGTGGGGGCCAATGTATGTCATGCTCACCAGTGTCTTTGTTGCTTTGAGGGGGACAGTTGGGCTTGGGAGGATTAGCTTTTAATTATGGATGGCAAATTGTCACAGCAAGCTGGATCCATTTTGCACCATAAGCAGTAGCTAGCAGCCAGGGAGGGAGCTGTGAGGCTGGGGATTGGGAAGAGGGGGGAACTTCTCCCCTTAGGCAGCCATAGCTCTCACATGCCCCTGTGGCATACGGGGCTCTGGAGGTTTGCATTTCTAGATCAAGGGGGAAGAGCTGCCTCTGCCAGGGTCTTAATGTTCCTGGGGCAAGTGTGGGTATCAGCAGGACTCCTGCTGCTGCCAACACAAGCATGTCAGTAAGGGGAAACAGCCCAACGGAGGCTGCGAGGACCAGCCCACTGTCACCTGACCTCACTGTCCTGCCCAGGCTCAGGCACTGCCCTGAGTGGGGAGCGGGGATAGGGATGGTACCAGGACAAGCATCTGTGCTCCAGCATCCTCAGAGATAGCCCTGGACACTGCTTCCAAAGCCCCATGGGGCTCCTGAGCCCCGCGTGCCATGCATGGGTTAGAGAGCTCAGCCAGAGATGATATGTGTCCCCCGTGTGGGCTGGCGTGCAGGGTGACCCTGTACTGCCCCCCACATGGAGGCACCTGCCCTTTGTAAAGCTCCCTGTCTTCTCTTCCCTTTCAGATGGAGATGCCAGCCTCCTCCCCATCTCCTGCTCAGACGCCAACCCCGCCAGCCACCCCAGATACCGCTGTCAGCTCCGCAACCACTGGCTCCCCTGAGCCAGTTGTCAATGGCACCATGGCACTACCTGCCTCAGTTCAGAGCAACCAGGTGGACATAGAGGCCCTGATCCCAACACATGATGAGCAGGGCCGGCCCATCCCTGAGTGGAAGCGGCAGGTGATGGTGCGCAAGCTGCAGATGAAGATTCAGGAGGAGGAGGAGCAGAAGCGGAAGGTATGAGGGTGGGTGCCATGCATGCCTGCCTGTGTGCCCTGCCTGTTCCACATGGGGTGGTGGGGCTGTGACCGTGTTCCTCCTGTGCATGCAAAACACCCTGGCAGATACTGGAAACACCCTCAGGCTGAATCTGGCAGGTGGGGGCAGCAGAAACCCTTCAGGTAGCCAGCAGGACCCGGTGAGGTCAGGGGCCAAGCCACATCATTCCTCCCCGCTGGGCGAGTGCACTGTGGGAGACCCCATTTTCCTGCACAGCATCTTCAGGCTCCAGGGCTGGGCCACAGTGCCCTGGCTCACAGGCTTGTCGCAGGGGTTATAGCAACATGCAGGAAAAAGGACTGACTCAAATGAAAAGGGAGATTCAGGAGAAAGGTCCCAGCCTCTCCATGGCAGACAGCAACCCTGGCCTGATGCTGAGGGAGAGCAAAGCCCAGGATGACTCACTCAGTCCTGCACACACCCCAGCTTCCCCAGGGCCAGGGCTTAATGCTTCATGCTTTCAGGGACACGTCTGACCTCCTGGCTCTGCACTGCCTTCAAGTAAGGCTGGGGGCAGGAGCTGTAATGTGTCTACTTAGGGTTCTTGGGAGAGGGTCTGAAGGTGTGAATGGATGGACTCCTTGAGACTAGAGCCAGGAAGTGGGGCTTTTTCCAGCCAGGAGCCCCTCCTTGGAGTGCAAGCAGGCCATAGACTCTGGGACACTGGCCCTCCCTGCTGAGCTCCCAGCACAGCTGCCACTTATGCCCAGGTGGCTCCAGCAGGCACCTGCCCAGCAGAACTGCTGTGTGCCCAGCAGGTGCAGAGCAGCCCTGGCCATACTAATGAGGCCCCTGTCTGGTGCATGGACACCATACTTACAGATTAAACCCATTTGCAACAAACGCCAGTGCCTTCCTGGCAGAAAGTGTAGCCCCAGTGATGGAGGTGTTTGCAGTGAAGCCTGAGCATGCAAACCACCCTACAGAGCCAGAGCCAGAGCCAGAGCCAGAGCCTGGCTGAGCTGCTTGACTGGAGACCATGCTACATGCAGCAGCTGAGGCAGCCCTGGAGCAGGGCATACACTAACAGGTGGGTCCCTCTGAGGCAGCAGGGAACAGCCTTCTCCAAGCTACCCACAGACCAGGCCAGGGAAGCATCAGGAACCAGACTGAGGGGAAGGGCAGTGCAGGCTAGTGGACTCTCCAGGGCACAGCAGAGGCAGGAAGGCCCTGGCTGCTGGCAGCCCTGTAGAGACATGCTCCTTCTGGCCTCCGCCTGTTGACACAGCTGATTTGCTGGAGCCAGATGCAGAGTATGGTAGGTAAATAGTGTTTGTAGAGTACTGGCTTGGGCTGGGCTCCCAGGGTAGCGATAGAAAGGCCAGATAGGGGGAGGCACTGCACACATAGTTTTATTAGAGCCAAGGAAGACACACGGGATGTTTCACAGCATCATCTCCTGTGTCTTCGTTAACCTGAGGGTGCTCATGGACCAGGAAACAAGCACCAGCACAGACCTGAGACCCAGCTGGGCCCTTAGGCCATGCAGGGGTGCCAGTTCCACCCTGCCATGGGGTTGGTTGGGATGTTTTATGTGTGCGGTGGAGTTTTGCATGCCCTGCATGGTTCTACATTCTTTGCATTGCTCTGGTCAGCTGCAAAATGCATTTAAACTGCAGTATTCCAGGCAGGCAGCAGGGAGAGGGGTGGCACTGCACCCAAGGGGACCAGCTTCCCCATGGGCTGCAGGGCAAAGGGGGCTGCAGAGACAACAGCATAGCCAAGGCTAGGCTTGGGAGCATAGCTGTCAGGATCTACTCCAGTATCCCAACCCAGGGGCAGCTGAGAAACACAAGTCCCAGATTTCATGCCAAGATGATACTGCAGGTTTAAATGCCTTACATGGTCATTCAGTGGTGTAATGAGTGAGCGGTTCCTGGAAATACCCCCGGCCGTCTCCTCCGGGCAGGGACTTGGGACAGCACCTCCTTAACAAAGTTCTCTCTCCTGCCGTGTGCGCGAGATGCAGACAGCGAGGTCTCTCCATCAGCTCCACTGACTCACTCCATTCGCTCTGTGCCGGCCACCTTTGCCTCTGCTCTCCCGCCCTCCTTGCGGTCAGCGTTCCAGCCTGGCCATTGCCATTACACCACTAAGGACATGTAAAGTCGTGCACGTGTGCAGAGACAGAACAGTATGGAGCTAGCTCCTGAGGGAGACATTTTTCCCTCTGTTTTTTCCCCCCTGCCTTAGCTGGAGACCGGGAATTACTATCCACAGGAGTGCTGGAGATACTCCCATACCCACAATGGGATTCTGGGACCCTTTGGGCAGCTCATGACGGAGGAGGACATCCTGCGCATAGAACGGCAGATTGAGAATCTCCAGGTGATGCACAAGGTTCAGAAGGTGGAGAGCGAGCTGGAACAGCTGGAGCACGAGCTGCAGCAGCTGCTGCCTGTCTCAGCTGCCCTGGTGAAGGAGCACTTCACAGTGAACCCCAAGCGCATGCAGGGCCGTGCCGATGACCTCCCGGCCTGGTGTAGCAAGATCTCAACCCTGCTGAAGAGCATGGCCATCCTGCTGGCGACGCTGGGGGGCAAGAAGGTCCAGCTGGGTGACCTTTTGGCTCCTGACCTGCCGGAGCCAGCACCCTGTGCTGCCAACATCCCACCCGAGGGGGCACCAACAAACATTGGGCGATCGCAGTCCTTCAGCTCAACCCGGGAGGAGGTAGAGAGGGAGATCCTGCAGTGCGGTGTGTCAGTCAAGAACCTTAAGGCCAACTACGAGCTGTACACACAGTCCCAGGCACCCGACGACATGTGCAGCAGTGGCAGCAGGGTGTACAAAAGAAAACGGTCCCTACCTGTGGGCACTGTGCCTTATGGCTACAACCGCGAACCCATTCTGGAGGAAGACTATGTTACCAGCAGTGACCCGTTTGCCACTGTGAGTGAGGAGGTGGCCACCAATGGCACAGAGCCAGCCCTGGGGCTGGCCTATGCTGAGGCAGAGCCCCCACTCCCCCAAGAGGCAGAGCCACAAAAGGTGGCAACAGATCCCTTTGCAGAGGCCTTGTTTAGTCCTGACCACCTGACGCGGAGCCTGCCAGTGCAGACGGAGCTGAGCTGCGTGCAGGACTACATTGACATGCGCAAGGAGCGTATTGTCTACCTCTTTCTGGAGCACTGGAGGAAGTGGACCTTCACCGAATCAGTACGGCAGGCCCGTCCCATACGGCAGGCAGCGGGGAAGCCACCCAGCGAGGATGACCGGCTCCTGTACTTCATGAAACAGCGACAGGTGGTGGGGAACCTGCTCTCGCAGTGGCGGGACATCATCAGCCAGGTGCCCACACGGCAGATCCGGCGCCTGAGCCGCACCAACATGCTGTACTGGCCAGAGCACTTCCTGCCGCACGTAGGGGGTGCGCCCGTGCATTATGACAGCCTCTCGCTGGACCTCTTCATGCTGGGCTACTTCCAGCTCCTCGAGATGAACCTGACGCGGGAGGAGCGCAAGTTCCGGCACCTGCTTTGCTACGAGATGTTCGACCGGCTGGGCAGTCACAACTGGGAGCTCATCCGCAGCTTCCACAAAGCTGTGCTCGAGGAGGTAGAGGCTGGCCGGCGTGACTGGCTCGATGGCTTTGAGGACCTCAAACAGGAGTTCTTTGGGGATAGCCTGGGGCTCAGGGGCACAGCTACTGCCCTGTCACAGTCACCAGCTGCAGCTCCACCGGCCCCACCGGCCCCACCGCCCCATCAGGACTCTGCCAGGGCCCTGGCCAGTGACACCCTGCAGCCAGCCCCAATCCCTATGGACCCAGGCCGAGCCCCACTACCCAAAACCCGGAAAAACTCCGTCCAACTGGTGTCTGAGCTGGGGGAGTTTAGCAGCGATGACATCTGTCGTTACATAGACCGTAGCTTCTCGTTCTGGAAAGAGAAGGAGGCAGAGATGTTTGACATCTGAGTGTTCTTGCGGGCCCCTGTGCATGCTGCAGGAGGCGCGCTCACCCCCAGCCCCAGCAACTAGTGGGCCCCAGGCACTGGCCATAGCCACTCCTCCACCACAGCCCCTCTGGAAGGGACACGCTGCCCATCAGCATGGAGGGCAGCACTGCTGGAGAAGCAGGGGACAACCCTGCATATAGGCAAGAGGGTCTGGGCTCTGTCAGCTCTCTGAGATGACCTCTGCAGGAGGTGCAGAGAAGCCACGACATGTGTCATGTCTGGGGTAAGAGCTGTAGAACAGAGACCTGCGAGGGCTCCAGTCCCCAGTTGCACCTCACTGGGAAGGTGTTGGCCATGCAGACAGGGGGCTCTGAGCAGAAGCAAGTCAGCACAGTCCCAGAGGGACCCCTGTCCTCCAGTCTTTGTCGTGCAGGAGCCTCAGACACTCGGCAACTCCACTAAAGGCTGCAGCCATTTTGCCTGGGCGAGAACTGCAGCCACCATCCCAGAGTCCTTGTGAGGCTGGAATCACACTGTTCCTCTGTCTAGACAACAGCCCCTCAAGGCACGGATGGGTGCTGTCTGAGGGTTGTTGAGCATGCACCAGGCTCCAGGGGCATTCGGACATGAGCCTGCCTTCTCCTTTCCCGTACAAGCTGCGGCAGGCCGTGATCCCCCGTGACCATGGGAACCCCATTGTGTTTCCAGCATGCTTCATCTTGCAGATGCCACTGGCTTCTGTTGCTGGGGAGGAGGTGCTTTGGGACCAGGCAGTGCAGCATACATCTCCCAGCCATCCACAGCCAGTGCAGGAGCACATCATAACCACGGCCTCATTAACCCAGTTTCCAGACCCAGCACAGGCTTGATTTTACTACTTGGTCTCCGGCACTGGGTTCTGGTTCCAGCTGGCTGCTCCAGACATTCTCCTCCAGCCCTGTGGAAAATTCCCTTTTGCATTGTATGCTTCCCCACCACAGACCTGCTTGAACCTTTAATGATTGCAAAGTGTGTTGCGTGCTCTACCCATACCTACAGCAGAGACACAAGTCTGGCTCCTTGTACATAGGTTTGGGAGTGAGGTGTGCTGCGCAGCAGGCTGTGTGTGCATGTGTCTTGCAGCTTCTGTAAGGATTAGTGCTACTGCTAAATAATAAAGCGCTCTGCTCTGGGAAGGGAGCACATGTCTTTTGCTTTGGAGGGATGGGTCAGGGGGTTCGGTTTTACAGAAACCATACTGGGGGACACTGGGTGCAGTCACTGGGTTATCTGTGGCTGCTGGGCAGGGGCAGGGGGCATTGCATACCCAAGCAGAAGGACAAGTCACTGTGTGATCAGCAGGACCTGATGCTGTAGCTGCAGCAGCAAAGGGAAAACTGGTCAAAACCTGCTGCCAAGCCAGCACTTAGGTGCAGGGTCAGCGTGCTGTCTGCCACAGTGCACAGTCCCAGCCACACAGCCTGGTTACTGCAGCAAGGAAACACTAATCTAGAGATGAGAGGGAGAGAGTCACTGCTATATACAGAGTCTCCCTGCAAGCATCTCCCTGACCTGGCAGTCCTGAGCATTCACAGGGGCATGGGCTCTGTCCTGCAAGAGCCTGACTAGTCCTTGCTAATGGGCAGCTGCACTCGCAGTCCTGAGGACAGTTCCTTCTGCCAGCATGGATCAGTTGGGGCTTCCTTTCCAGCCCAGCAGCCTTGAGCATTGGCGGGGGACACACCTCGTGCAAAGGGCTTGGGAGACAGCAAGGGCAATGCTGTGACAGAGCAAGCCCTGGCAGAAACATGGGCCCACTCCTGTTCCTTGCTGCCTTTATGAGGCTGTGCTTGGGTCTTGCCCAGCCTAGCAGTTTTTGAATCCCTGGGAACATGAAGGGGGGAGGGGGGAGGCATTCCCATGACATTTCCCACACCAGAGAGGACACAGGCAAGGTGGTCAGGCCATGATGGGCTGCAGGGGTTGGACAGTCTCTTGGGGGCCATTGCACCCTGTGGGAGCAGCACCCCCCTCAATTAGTAATTAACCAGAGTAGAGGGCAAGATAGCAGCAGCTGTGCATGGCCCCAATCCCTGGGGGGGGACAGAGGACCCTGGCAACAGCTGCTGCTCTAGGCAACCACTCTTCCCCTGGCAGCTGTGCTAGTGGTTACACTCTATGCAGGATGCAGCTCCCACACAGGACACTGCCCCAGGGCTTGTCCAGCACAGCCCTGAAGGCCAGGATCACTGCTGGTGCCTACCTTGCTGATTTGCTGCCGGAGAGCTGGCAGGCAGTGTCAAAGCTCAGCATATCCATGCACTGTGAGTGGCCCTGGTACCACCTGGACACAGCCTGAGGAGATCAGATGGGGAGCACTAGCTGTAGCTTGTAGCAGCACAAGAGCTGTCAAGCCCCATGCCTGGTGCCCCCTCAGTATCTGAGTTAGAGGCTAGCTCGTGGCCTGATGCCCCTGCCAGGGTCAATGGGGTACATGCTGCTGCTGAGCCTGGGATGCCATGGCAGCTGGAGGACCCCATGGCAATGCCAGTGAGGCAGGCAGTACAGTCCTGCTCCCATGTCTGGTGCTGAAACATCACCTGTTGCACTGGCTCCAGCAGGACTTGATTGCCAGCCTGTGGCACGTGTTGCAGGACAGGTGCCTGCCCCTCCACCTTGCATCACCTGCACAAGTAGCTTTCCAGCTCCTGGAGGCAAATTCACTGCCTCTGCTGAGCCCTGCTCCCATTTGCTTGGCCTCCATGTCTCCTGGAATTGCAGCGCTGGCCTCTGGCATCTCTGCTCTGTGCAAGCATTTCCAACCCAGAGAGGCCCTCCTCTGGCCCAGACAAGGCGGTGAGGGTGTTCCTGTTGGGTTACTGAGACCTCACTGGCTGGAGCCATCTAGGTACGCCCTGAGCCACACACACTTTGGGCTCGCTGCACCTGGACCATGGCAGCTCTTTCCTCTGTGTGGTTGAAGCTGGACCTTCCTCCTTCCTGGGGAAAACGAGCTGTTCTGCATCTCCCAGTGGCTGTCCTCTGCACTTTTCCTTTCCCTGCAGCCTGCACTTCTTGTTCCCCTTCCCAGTGGACTGTCCAGGGGCCCATTTCTCTAGGGTTGGGATAGCTCAGAGGAGCTGTGGCATTCTCCCCAGCACAACTTCCCTTTGCTGCCGCACCCCACCCCCCAGGGTCCTCTTTAATGCCTTGTGTTGTGTTGCAGGAGCAGGAGGAGGAAGCACGCTTAGCCACGATGCCAGCCTGGAGGAGAGACATCTTGCGGAAGAAGCTGGAGGAGGAGAGGTGAGCGGTCCCCCTTACCCCCACAGGCTGTATGGGCCTCACCCACTGTCCCATGACTCAGAGCTAATGGTTTTCTTCTCCTTGCTTTCACAGAGAGCAGAAACGGTGAGTGCTTCTTCCCACTCCCTCGCTGCAGATGTGGAGCCACACCCCTGGCCTATGCTGGTGGCCATGGGAGGCTGGCATCTGAGGCTTTGCAGGCTTGATCCCCCATCTGTGAAGGGGTTGGTGCAGGTGTCTGGGTACTGTAACCAACACAGCCCTCTCTGCTTTGTTCCCAAATAGAAAAGAGCAAGAAAAGCTGAAGCGGGAAGAGGAAGAGAAGGAGAAGGAGCAGTCAGAAAAGCTAAGGACTCTGGGGTACGATGAGACAAAGCTGGCCCCCTGGCAGAGGCAGATTATCCTGAAGAAAGGGGACATAGCAAAGCATTAGTTGCCCCATGTTCCTGCCTCCCTTGCGTGAATGTAAGCCCTTTCTTCCTTTGCTCTCCCGTGGCACGAGTTGTTCAGCAGGAGGGGGAAAGCCACTCGCCATGGCTATCCATGTTTGCAGGCCCTGTTAGCAGGTGGCTCTACCCTCCAAGCTGGCATGGCGCTGGACTGTGGGGCCCCACCAGCATGTCGCAGACAGAGGTGCTCGTGGAGGAAGAGGGCCAGGTTCCCTTCATCCCCTCACTGAACAGTCCCCTACCATGCTGCACCACACTGCTGGCCTCCCTGCCCCAGTCACCTGTTCACTGTGAGCCCCGACTTCTCCTGTGGTAGGTGGCAACCCTAGCGGTTTCCCCAAGCACACTGCTCGTGGGCTCACAAATGCAGTGCACCTGGGCTCTGCTGCAGCAGCGCCTTTCCCAGTGCTGTCCCATTGCCCTCAGCCTCTGCCCTGCACTTCAGATGTACATTTGTATTTCACAATACAGGGTCTTCTCCAGGGCAGCCTGTGGTGGATGACTCGTCCACAGGCCAGCCAGGGGGGGAGATGTTTCTTCAGCTGCCATATCATGTTGAGCCCTGCTCCCATCCAGGGGGAGGGAAGGGAGGGAAGGTGGGGGGGTCATGTTGTTTTCTATATGTTTTTGTCATGTGTTCGCTCTAGCGACAGACTCTCCAGCTTGTTTCTGACTTAGCTCTTCTGCAGTTTTGCCGATTAAAACTGTAAAGCCGTGCCTAGTGTCTCCTTCCAGCTTTGCCTTTTCCTGTGACCGGCCTGGGGAGGCCCACCCCACACACCCAGCGACAGCAGCCGTAGGCATCCATGATGGCTGTCCCAGCTTTTCCCAACCAGCCTTCTCAGGCAGCAGGGAGCTGTACTGCTGAGCAATATCAGGTGCTGGCTGGCTCTGTCATCCCCACACCATCCAGACTGGGGCCTGAACTGCATCCACGCTGGCCTGCCCAGCGGTGCCCCCACTCAGTCACACCCTCAGGGCAAAATCTTGGTAAGCCACGGGCAAGAGGAAGCTGCATGGCTGGGAATCCCCCGCACTGCTGCAGGGTCCCACGGGTGGGCCTAGAAGCACTCTGGCCACAGCCCCTGGGACATCCAGGCTCTGCTGGCTGAGCTTGGCAGGCTAGTGAGGCTGTGCTTGATACATCCCCATGAGACAGGGGTACTCACTCACTGACCTGAGCCTCAGTACCAGCACTGTACGGCCAGTGGCTGTTCCCATGCCCCTGCTGCAGGCAGCTGGCACTGTACCTGGACTTCACCCCACTGCACACACCCAGGTGCATGCCCCCTTACCATTCTGACTTAGTCCAGCAGTGCCTAAGAGCAGTGCCCAGCTGCATGTCTGCTGGCTATGAGCTGGTCCCCAAGGTGGGCAGCATGGGCTGGGCAGCATCTGCTTGCACAGCTGTCCTTGTCACACAGCAGCACAACACTTCCCCCACCCCCAGGAAAGAGCTACTCCCAGCAGGCCGACCAGGGCCTGGGCAGCCCCACACAGCACAGGGGGGCTGTGACTGCCCTGCCTAAGCTCACTGAGTGCAGTGCAGGGAGGAGCCGGGTTCAGTGAGGGCCATTACACAGCAAGACCAGGAGTTAACCATTAACAAAATTAGCTGCAGTTGCTCACCTCAGTCCAGACCATTTTATTGCATGTGATCCAATGCTCCAGCATGTTAGAGCAGGGGTTTGGGGAGGTTTGGAGACAGGGGAGGGCAGCAGGAAAGCAACCAAGGGGGAAGATCCACCTTAGGCTGGGGGTGAGGAATTGTCCGACCCTAAGCCAGGTGCTGGCATGGCCACAGGACCCATTCCAAGTACCTGCTGCTGGGCCTCACTGGCCCTGCTCCTCTTTCAGCTGCCTCTACCCTCTCTCACTATCTGGCCTTGCATTGATGCGCCTCCCTCATGCGTGTGGTGTACCCCTCTGCCATAGGCAGCTCCACAGCAAGGCCACCCCACCACCTGCCCTGAGTCCCAGAGTGCTGTCATGTGTCCCAACACTCCCATGTGAGATGCAGCACCCACAAATGGATACCACAGGAGCTGAGCATCCCCTTTTGTCTTCCAGACAGACCACCCAAGAAA